TTTAGTCAATAGCTGCACATATAATTTTCTAGGAGATAAGAAAGATGTAAGTAATGCAGCAGGTGATATTATTGAGAAGATTGAGAAAGAGTCAGCGGAGAATTTGGAGAAAGAGTCAGCCAAGAATATGGAGAAACAGTCAGCTGAGAGTATGAAGAATGAGTCAGACTACAAAGCGTGGCACAATGAAAAGGAAAGCTTAGAAAAGTGAGATGGTATATAGTATTACTAACCCTACATGTAAATTCACATCTACATGTAGGTACCACCGAATAAAGAAACCTAAAATAGAAAAAGGAAAGGAAGGTGAAGGTACATAATGCATTAAAAAGGTAATTTATTATAAAAACACAAAACAGAAATGCACAGTTAATATTGTTGCTGTTGGTTGTGCTACAAATAATGAATCTGCTGCAAATAATGAAGCAACAAGCTTCAACACTGGAGATCCTTCTAAGCATATTAGTATCGGTAAGATTCAATATAATAATAATTATTACTATTGTTTTACTTGTTATTATTAGAAGCAAGAAAACCTTCAGAGAGAAAAGAGGCAGATTCCAGTGAAAGAATTCTTTGTCATAGCCCTCCACCACTTCCACCACCACTTGCACTGGTGGAGCTTAAAACTCAAGCTGCATGTAGTACAGAAACAGGTGAATTGTTTTACAAGTACCTGTACAAATTTAGTAACATTAATAACATATTACTTGATTATCACAAACAATTAATGTTGTTTTGTTTAGAGGTTATATACTGTCTCTAATTAGAAGAATGGAAATTTTAGAAGAACAGAGTATCATGGTGCCATCCCAATTGGGTTGCTTAACATACCATTTCTTTGGAAATACTAGCCCGGCATGAACACAAGGGTAAGTATTCAGTAATAATTATTAGAGATTAGTAATATCCTATTAATATTCTAGGCAGGTACTCTGCTACATACATGAACAGTAATGGAAGTACTCCTAGTGCCCCATCTGCTTGTAATCTACCTCAGCATACTGATCCAGTAACTCCAACTAATGAGCCAGTAAAGGCAATCATCACCAATACTACTGTGCACACTGGTAATAGAAGGAAAATAGATTTTAATGCTCCTTTGTTGAATCCTGATACTGTGATTAATAAATATCCCAAACTGAAGACACTCTCTCAAGTTGGACAATCATCTGTAAGACTAGCTAGCAAAGTTTACTTTGGACCATCACTTTTGATTAAACGTAGTGTGTATAGGCAGAAGGAGAACTCTCCTTTGCCATCTGGTGCTCTAATGGAGCTGAAGCAGAAGCTACTGGGATTATTCCATCCACGTGATATTAGTACAAAGGATGAATTTTAGCTGTATTGGTCTAAGTGTATTCAAGCAATAAATCATTACTCTTCAGGGCTTAGAAGCAAATATCCACCTGATATTAAGAATCTAGAGTAGAAGGCTACATTGAGTATAGTATCATATAAGATAATAAATAGTCTAACACAGTGACACTGTTGATATACATGTATATATATTATATATTAGATATAATGATATAAAGATGCAAAAGATATACAATGAATAAAAGATATACTTTGCTTTTAATTATTATAATACATGTGGGAGGGAGAAGGATTGGGAGGAAGAGAGTTATAAGTGCATGCAATCTGTAATGTACAAGTCTGTTAGCATAGATTACATGTATGTGATGTTACATTTATAAGGAAAGAGGAAGATCGAAAGAGCTACTGTGTACATGTACAAATATTAATATCCAGTGGGACCTCCATTATTGCATTCAATCACTTTCGATATTACTTTACGTAAGTGTCCGATATATTTTCTACACTTTCTTCTATCCAGTGGGACCTCCATTATTGCATTCAATCACTTTTTGATATTACTTTACGTACGTGTCCGATATATTTACTACACTTTCTTCTATTTACAGTTTCCCAACAATCCATGATTCCTTTGACTAATTCCTCCTTTTGTTGTGGTTGCACTACTCTCCTGACATATTCTTTGAGCTCGTGCCATAGATTTTCAATCGGATTAAGATCTGGGGATTCTGGTGGTGTTTTCCACCAGTTTATTTTGTTGGCTTCTAACCACTCCTTTACTTTCTTTGAGGAATGTTTGGGATCATTATCCTGCATCAATCTTTGAGATGGATTTAAATGCTGGGTATAAGGAATCAGTCCATTTCCAAAACTCA